CTTTCTAGTCTGCTTGTGACACTGGACAGTCCTTTCTTAGAGCTATTATATGTTCTAGGCTACGAAGGGTTAAATAATCCCAAAAATGAGGTATGTCATACCCACACGTCTTGAGCTTGAGAAGCTGTGATGTATGTGGAACAGCACTGTTATTCTTAACACTAGTGTGTAAAATAAGGATTAGTACAGTACGTCTCATTACTTTTTAATTCAGGGCACCCTGAGTGAAAACAAATACAAAAAAAAGAAATCCCTAACTCTGAGCTCTATCTCTAATTCCTCTTCCTCCTTCACCCCTTCCTCTTCCTCTTCCTCTCCTCCTGTTTTGCTACATTCTCCTCAGTGGCAAAAAGTTTCACTCTACCTCTGACAGCATGTATATTGCACCAGTAGCTAACAAAAACTGGTCTAGTCAAACCAAATGGGCACAAAAGAACCAGGATACCAAAAGTTAAGCTCATACAGCTGCAAACCATATCACTTCTTGGTAACAATGCAGACCTCATAAACCTAAAAAAGAGAAAGAAAAGAAAACTTTTGTTACTTTCCTTTTTTGCTTGTCACTTATATACAGGCTATGTGAGAGTATTAATTTGTAGGTATTACACATTTAAAAAAAGTTATCTTCATTGGATAGAATTGAATGGTGGTCGCTGATAGGAATAGGGCGTCCTCTATCTCTTATCTCTGTCTCTTTTCTCTTTCTCTTTTTCTATGTCATGAGACTGTGTGTGACAGGGCCACCTGTCTTTTTTATTTGTTTCTTAACTTCTTTTTGTTTTTTGTTTTTGTTTCTGTTTTGTTTTTTTTTTAATGTGTAGGTGCATGTCTTCGGGATTTAAAAATTTCAAGGCTGGTTTACTTATGCAAAGCATGCCTATGTCTGGGATACTTAGGGAAAGAAAGCGACTCCATGTTGTCCGAATTCCTCAAGGGACAGAAAAAAGAATTGGAGACTGTTGAAATGCAGATTTGAAGTAATTTTATTTTAATACATTATTGTGAAAAATTAAAGTTGTTGTGCAATACTTAATTCAGACATGTACCACAAGTTAACGGTAGACTAACACTGGGGGGCGGGGGCTAGGCACCATGCTTTTGTCAGCATACTCTTGAGCTTTTAAGTCTACTATGTCTGAACTGTGGTTTCCTGTTTATCCTTTTTTTTCCTTAGTTGGACTGTAATGTATGGTCTGTCAACCTGTGAATCTTTCAAGTATGATTCAGGTATTGTTGTATTCTTTACTGTGTAATAAAAATACTTTAAAAAAATGTCTGTATTCTGTTTCCCTTTTCTTCACTGTGTGCCAAAGCCACCACTCAGGGACCCTAGCCTGGGAAGTCAGTCCTTCATGGAACATGCCTAGAGTCTACTCAGCTTTACAGAGCATGTTAACTCACAGAAGTTAGCTCATCCATGGGTGATAAGAGGATGTTTTTGAGGTCCTAGTAGTCAAGTATAGAAGGATATTTGAGTCTTCCATAGAAAAGGATAGCTTAGTCTAGGGGTCATTTCCATCTCCAGTGTCTCTGGTTCTCAGCAGGTTGTACCAAGAACAGCTTCAGGGCATATCCCCTGAGTCAGACCTCCTCCTCCATTCATTAGCAGCATGTTCACACTTGTTTTTGTAAATTTGTAATGCACAGTATGGTATGTCCAACTTGTTTCTGAAACCCATATTATCCCTTTAACATTAATGTGTGTGTGTGTGTGTGTGTGTGTGTGTGTGTCCATTATATATCCGTGCACTGGTTATAAATAGTTTAGAATTTGGAGAACCAATCTTCTACCCTAGGAACCCAATCAATTTTCATGTGGTTTTCCCAACACATTTGTTTTTAAAGGAATGTATATACTATATTGTAGCAGAATTTCCCATTTGCTTGGAAGATTGTCACTATGGGCTAAAAACCAGCTTAAAGAAATTAGGTGAAATGTATGTGTAAGGCCTGAGTCTGGAGAGATGTCACATAGGTGCTGGTGAGTGGAGGGTGACCTAGGACCTTCTGTTCAGTTTCCATTTTTGTATGCCAACTAGGTCCCTATCCCTATCCTGAGACCTGGCTTCTTCAACTGATCTTGAGAAACACAAATAATTTTACAAGGGGATAGGGAGAACGTGTAAAAGCACAGATAATTGCTTTGTTACCCCTATAACATCAACAGGCTGAATATTTAATTTTGTAGTTAATTTTTTTCCTCACATAAAGGCTCAGCTTGCCTTTCCTTATTTGTACAAATATGTTTTCTTTCTCTCTTCAAAGTGGAACAGACCAGAAAACAGAAGTGGAGAACAGAACTGAGACCCCTTGAGGTAGCCCCTTTCTAAACAGTCCTGGGAAACAGCTCTGGGACATATTTGTACAACAGGATGTGCTGGACTAATGGGAAATGAGTTTAGTTTAGATGAAGGATGTAAGCACAATCCAGTAGTGTCTGTGGGTGAGCACCATTTTTGAAGGAATGTTATTGATGTATTTGATAATTTTAAAACTGTGT